AATGCTAGTCAACAAACAAAGTGACATGGCCTTTCATCTATCACCCATCTCGAAAGGGTTAAGGGCATCTTTAGTATTAACCAGAGCAATAAACCAAAAGGAGAGCCAAAAAATAATTATACAAAAAGCCACAAGTCCCACAACTGAAGAAATAATGTAATGGGTTCAAAATATACTTATTGAAAAAGAACTTTATCCATTTCATGCAAATGTAAGTTGACACCCTCCTGAAACAAAAAGGCATACATATTAATGATTGTAAAATCTCCTCCTCTATGAGGAAGGATCTATCAAGGTAAATGTAATTGTACCAGTAGGGTTAGTTTCTTCACAGAATCTAAAAATGGGAAATATAATGAATTATATACTGAACAGTAGATAGTAAGAGTCATCAGATCAAATAAGGTCAACAATGGACAAGTGGTTCCAAGGTCAGCATGAGACCTGGAATATTGCTCTGATAAAGAACAATTAACACTAAGAAGCAGCTTTACTGAGAAATCAAACATCTAGAAACTATGTATTATGATTACAGTAGATAGGTGATAAGGTGCAAAATAAAGAAACATAGTTTAAAAAATATCATCTCTAAAATACAAAAAGGATTAAAAGAAGATAATAAATTAGATTAGTATTAACCAATACCATATCATTAAACAAAAGTGCACTTGTCCTTTTGATGAAATCTTAAGGCAAGTAGGTAGTAGGTGACATTTTATTAGCTCTATTCATGAGACAGGAGATTTGTAACATGCATGGTGTGTGTGAATCAAAAAAGTGTTCACACAAGGCAAACTAGCTTGTATTGTTTTGAGAGAATGATCAGTAAAAATTAAAGTGAAGATTATGAAATAAAGTGTCAATGATGTTTCTGCACAGTCAAATCATAGAAAAGCATATTCCCTGAAAACAAAAGGCACAAGGAGACAGAATAACTACATTTAAATATGGATAAAAAGCCAAAAACTCGGAAAATGAATGTAATTTTATGGCCTTTATAAACAATTTGATAGCATCAGTATATAAACAAGGCCGTAAAAAATAAGAGAGCAGCCCTAGTAGACTGAGATAGACAAGAGGGTCAGTGCAAAAAACAAGATGACAATTCAACTAACTGGATGAATAATGAAATTTAACTGTTTCAATGTTGAAAATCATTTCCCTTTGATTAATAAGTAAATAAGTGTGTTTAGAACTAAGCAGTCTTTTAAGACAAGTTTATATTATTTTAGCACAGAACTTGACAACCAACAGTCAAAGTCAGAAGATAAATGGAAGAGAATCCTTGATAAATATGCACACAAAAAAAGGATGTTGGTATACTTTGGTGACAGATTTTCTTGTAGGCAGATTTTTGTTAAACAAGACCGATGTCTGTAGGTTTACTTTCT